ACACTTTGATTTTTTAATCTATAACAGCTAATTAAAATATTTATAGTATTTTTTTATTATTTAAATGAAATAATATATAATATAACAAGCGCGCTCGTCAAACTTGTATATGAATGAAATAATTATATATGTACAATAGAGATAATTAAATTGTTTTTTTTTTAAATATTAATTTTTTAATTAAATTTTATTAAAAATGTTTTTTTAGTAAAGAATTTTAATGATATAAATAAACTATTATTATTATTATTAAAAAAAATATATTCAATATATAAAATAGAAAAATTATGAAATAATAAATATATAAATTTTTATAAAGTATATTTATTCATTTATTTAAATTATAAGTACTATAATTGAGAAATTGATTTTGTTTCTTTTTTACATCTTTATATATATTGCTCCAAAACCCATAATTAAGATTTGTAATTTCTTCTATTTGATTTAAAAATATTTGAGTTTTTTTTATTATTTTCCTGTAATAAAAAAACCATAAATATTATGATTATAAAATTATTTTTAATTAATAATTAAAGATGCTTACTTGTGTGTGTTTGTATTCTTAGTATTTAATTCTTTTTCTAAATATTTAAAACACATATCTGTAAGATTATTTAATTGATTAAGAAGTTCTATGCTGAATGACCCAAATTTTTCTTTAATTGCAGCAAGTGTATTTTCCAAACACATAATACTATTTATCCATTGTCCTTAAATAATTAATTTTTCATTATTATTTTTATATTATTATTAGAAAAATTTTAATCTAACTATACAATATAATATATCCACAAACCCATTATTTTATATATTTCTGCCATAAGATTTAATGTAATTGTTATGTCTTCATTATATTTATACAATACTGTTCTTCTAATATGCAAACATTTTTCTAATTTATCCAATGCTTTTTCTGGTTTACCTAAGTTAATATAAACTTCAGATATTTGAAAAATTTCATTAGCTTGTATTATTTTATTTAAAAGTGGAATTTGAGATTTGTCATCACAATCTAAACAATATGTAGAATTTTTTATATTACATAATGCACCATTACATTTTAAACATTTCATTGCATTAAATCTTTCCTACAAAGATGATCTTATAATATGATTTTATAATTTAATTATATGTTGCAACATATGTTAAAACTAATTAAAAACAAATATTACTAATTAGAATATTTCAAAAAATAAAAATATATTTTTTTATATTTACCACGAAGTATTGTAATTTTGGTAGAGTGCATGCTTTACACTTACAAATGAAGCAATACTGGCTTTTCAAAATTTTTTGTCTATTTTCTGTTGTCATATGTCTGTAGTGTGGACCTAATAGATGTTTTATTATTTCAATATATAACTAGTTAATATCTAATTTATAATAAAATAGATTTTATTAAATAAATTTTACTATACCATAACAATTAAAAATTTCTTCACCTTGAGAAATATCTCTTGATGCTCTGACAATAAGATATTGATTTACAAAACTAAAATTTAGTAATAAAAATATATTAGATACTAAAATATATAAATGTATATATATATATATATTATATAAATTTTAACATTACATGTTAATTATATTAGGGTCACAAGAATGATTCATTATACTTGCAGAAGGATAAATTCCTGTAGCTACAATATCTTGTTGAATCATGGAAGAATCATTTTTACTTAAAAATATATTTGATTTTGTAATGGCATGTCCATTACTAATAAGTTGAAGAATATATCGTAAAAGTAAAGAACTTATATAAAGTTGTTTGTCATTATTTGTTAAGATATTAAAATTTAAATTGAAAAAATTATCCAAAAATTTTTTCATTAAACTATTTTCAAAATTATTTATTTTAAAAAAATTTGTATACTTAAATAAGTATATAGTAAGCATAATAGCTGTCTGTAATTATTAAATAATTAAATATATTATATTATTATTATATTATTATTATATATTAATATTAAATAATTATTATTATAATTATTTTATTATATATAATTAAATAAAATTTTTTCTTTTCTAATATATATTTTTTTCAAAAATATACATACAATTCCATATATAGTTAAATCATCCATAGATAACTTGTCAAAATTAGTAACTAAATTTTGCATTTCGTTAAATTTAATCTTATCTGTTATAGTTGAACAAGTTAATAAAACTTTGAGAGCTAAATGTCCTATTCCAATTTCTTTCCAAAGATTCATTTGATTTCCAGGACATTCCCAGCAATGATACAAAGACCATGCTTTAGTTAAACAATTTTCATTGCAATAGAAAGTATTTAAACATGTTCTACATCTGAAATAATACAATACAACATAATTTGTATATTAATTTTTTATTTATTTAGTTTCTAAAATCAAGTTTTTAAAAATTTTTGAAGATATTTTAAAAAATATTAATATTTTAGTATATAAAAAAAAGAAAAAAATATTCTGTATCAATATAAATAAATTACTTACGGAACAGGAATGTCAGTGTTCAAATTATTACAATATTGGCAAAAACTATATGTATCATGATTTAATAACACAAAACTGATAGGTTCTTCTAAGAAAAGAATATCACCTTCTTTAATAAATTTGTTTGCTACTACATGTCTTCCTAATTTTTCATTATGTATTCTATCTATAGTTATAGATGCATTAGGAAAATTTGTATTTTCTTCAAATATAATTTGGGATTTTAATTTCAATATATCATTAGTATTGTGATGATGATGACATGTGACAATATCTTGAACACATGACTCAATAAATGTTATATTACATATTTTTTTTTCAATATTATCTGAAAGTTAATGAAATATTTTATCAAAAATTATTTCAGTATAAAAAAATAATAGATGTTTAAAAATGTAAAGTTATTTATTTATTATTTACCTCTCATAGAAGGTTTTATATAATTAGGATCATGAATTAATTGTTGTATTTTAGATAGTGTTTCTTTAGCTAAGTGATGTTTGCCTAATTTTAAATAACATTGTATCGCACGTAAATATAATTTATAATGTAATTGTTTAGGATAATTTAATTTAATTGATAATTCAATATCTTTTATACAATCCTTCATTATCAATTTGTATTGATTATATAACACATATACATCATAAAAATAAATTTTAATATAATAAAACATTATATATACAATCATACATATATAGAATAAATAATATTATTTATTTTTTACTTACATCATATCTATTTAAATAAAATAATGAAGCAGACCTGTTTGCAATTGCAATTGGTAATTCACAACTATTCATAGGAGCATAAAGAGCACATTTTGTATATGATTCAACACTTTTCATATAGTTCTTTGCTTGAAATTCTTTATTTCCTATTATCTTAAAAGATTGTGCTTTGGTAATAGATTTAAATTCTTTTTTATTATAATGATCTTCTAACCATAAATATATAAGCTTTCTAAACATGAAAGAATGTAAAAAATTAAATAATAAAACAAATAAAAAATAATTATATAAATAATGTCATAACAATAAAAATAATAAAAATTTGTTACAAAAATTAAAGATTAAAATTAAGATTATTAGTTGTTACAAAAATTAAGATTATTAAGTTATTAAAATAAATAAATATTAATATTTAAAATTATAAGAATTAAATAAAATTAATAATTTTTTATAATAAATATTAATTCTTTGTTACAATTTTTATTTCTTACTTTATATTTTGATCATTCCATAAGTGAATCATAATTTCATTTTCCTGTTTTATATTCTTTTGTAAAAGAAATGTTGATTTTGATTTACATGTAAGAATTTCTAATACCTTCTGCCACTCCATTATATATATTAAAAAAATATTAGGTTAAAATTTTAGGTTATTTTATTTTATAAATATTACAAATATTAGTATACTTAATATTTTTATTATTTATGTTATAATATCAAATAATATATAATATTGTTTAGTTAATATATATTGTAAAAATAACATATTTATTATATATAAAATGATATTTTTTATATTTATGTATTTATAAGAAAATACTTTGTAAGAGTATCATATACAAAAATAATAAGAAATAAACAGAAATAAATATCAAAAATGTTAGATAATTCATTTTTTTGAATTTTCTTGTTGAATGAAATGTAATTTATTATAAATATTATAAATAACAAAAAGTTTTTACAAAATTTTTTATGAAATAATTTATTATATAATATAAATATATAATTAATATAAGAATCAAATAAAGTAGTAGTACATAGATATGTTTTACAATTCATAATTTTTTTTTCTTTAATATAATATATATATATATATATACTATAATTTTAATTAAGATTAAAATTTTTAAGGATATAATTATTTCCAATTTAATAATCCAATTAAATAATCGATAAATATATAACATTTAATATTATATTACAGAACAAATAAAAATAATTCAAATAATTTATATTGAAATAATAATTATTATTTAGAAACTAATACATACAAAAAGCAATTTACAATACAGATTTGCTTTTTGAGGTAATAAGGTTTCACTTATAAATAAATAATAAATAATTCATACAATATTATTTACAAATAAAAATATAATAATTATTGTTCGTATAAGTTATAATTTAGTAAAATATATGTACAAAATATTTTGTGTGATTTCTAATCATTTTGTTTTTAAATATTTATTTTTTTTTTATAAAAAATATAAAGTTATTTATATAAACATTTTCATTGTATTATTATATAATAACGAAATTGAACATGATAGTTTTTTTTGAACAACTTTAATTTTGTATTTTTTTATGTTCTATATTTATAAATAAAAATAATGATAAATACAAAAATACGTATATTTTGATTAAAGTTTCGATTATTAATAGTATTATTAATAATTATTAATAATATTTTGGAATAATATTATTGAATGCACTTTCATAATTTGAAATTACAAAACAAATATATTCATTAGTTTTCATAATAAATTCGAATCATAATTTATCATGTTTAGATATATTAAGGACAAAAAAAATTTGTATTGATTTTACTGAAAATATTGGAATTGCATTTTAATAAATATTATTATTAAAACAAATCCGATAATAAATCATCATCGCCGTAATCACTGTAATCATCTGCTCCAGGTGGTACAAAAATTCCTCCGAGTACTCCAGAAAGATTTTCACCTAAACCCATTGTCGATGCAACTCCAAACACAAGTCTCATCATGAGTAATCTCATAAAATTCACTACATTCGTCTCTTTGCTTTGTAGAGATAACTGCGTTGTTTTCTTTGCTTTACCGTCAACGCATCGAATCTGTCGAGTATTTTGGATATTTAAAAAAATCAATATAAATATCGTTATCAATATAAATATTTAATTAAAAATTTTATTATTATTAAATTCATAGAAGAAAAAAACATTCTTATAAATATTTTTATAAATAATTATTTGAAAATTTATTTTTATTATTTTTTTTACTAATATAGTTAACATATTTCTTCAAAGTTTTTGTTATTTTATAAAAGATATTTTTTTATGTAGGACTTAAAATTTAAAAAAGTTTAATATCATAAAAATCATTAAATCACCATTTATGTAACATATAAAATTTATGAATTATAAATTAACTTTTTATAATAAATTTTAAATATATTTTGCATCATATATAAAAATGTAAAATCATGTTTTTCTGTTATATAAATATAATTAATAAATAGTGAGATTTGCATATTAATACTATAATTAATTGTAATACATGAGTCTAGGATTTGAATATATTTGCATGTAACGTATTCGTTAATTTCAAATTTTAATCGAGTTCGCGCTTAATCAGTACTTACGCTGACACAAGCAATGACAATTATTGTTAAGGCAAGCGTAATTCTCATTTTGCACTTCCGATGCGTTAATCACTTCCGGCGAATATCTGTGGATGCTTTTGCGATCGTTGGTCGCTCCTTTCCTCTTTATGTTCGTTTTGTTTCCCGCGATTTTTCTTGCATCGATAGGACCGTTCCAACTGACCACGCAGAGTGAGCAACGAGAACTGAACTATGCTTACCTGGGAGAAACGCATTCAGTTTTTATTCTTGTTAAATATTGACACTAATAGAGCACAAGTTGTAACATACAATCGAACAGATGAACGATGAGGACAAAGTAAAATAAGTAGTACCTATGGTCGCAGAACTGAAGTTATTCTACGATAACGGTACATGACGAAAAAAGGCATCCAGGCCACCTCTCCAGGTTATGTGATACGTGCTTACGATACTATATGTATAATCGCGACTGTCAGAGGGTCTTTACTTATAGGAATTAAAATAAAAAATATTTCATTTAATTATTATCTAATCAATAATTTAACTATTGTTTATTGAAGCGCTTATATTTTTTTTCCAATTTAATTCTGAATTTTAAAATATCAAAGAAAAATGATTTTATACAAAATAAATATAAATTTATTATATGCTCATTATATATTACAAGAAGTATAATCTAAATCGATTATTTTATGATTATTTCATTTTATATAAAGAATGTAAAGTTTTTTTTGATAAATGATAAATTTACATGTTTAAAACAGTCAAGAAATATTGACATAAATTTTTGCTTCTCTTCTAATAGCAAAACAAAATTTATTGATAATAACACAAAAGTATAATTAATATTTTATATTATTTTATTATTTATTTTTTGTATTACATATGTATGTATATTTATTTATTTATTTATATTCTATTTAAATTATTATTTATTCTATATAAGTAAATATCATTCACTTATACACGAAACACGAAATAGATCTATCATCATAAACTAGCTTTCATTACCATTCAATGGTTCGCGATCGTTAAATTGTTCGTCAATCATTCGACATCGTAATGAGTCTCACATGTCGACTATTTAGGTTTGTCGGACAGAGAATAAGATTGATGAATGTTAATAAATTGTTAGTTAAAAATGCTATCTGTATACATTCATATATCAAATCTTAATGAACACATTTTTTTTTTTTAGAAAATTTTATGAATTCAAAAAAAGTTTATCATAATTGAGTTATTAAATTAAATCAATTCATAAAAGACTTCTAATTTTAAAAAATCAATGTATTTTTATCCAAGTTTTTAAACTATTTGTTCCAAGTTTTAGTAAAAAATAAATATTAAGATACTAGAAAGATGCAATAACATATTTTACATATATAGAAAATTTTCTCTTCTATTTTCACTTTTATTTATATATTTATTTATATATATTGTTCTCGTCATTCGTAATGGCTAGTACATTCTCAGCATAATTCGATAGGCGAAAATAGATGGTTGCCAACGATAGTAGACAATCGGTCGGCCTGAACGATTGAATGGAAATGAAAGTCGTTCAGAAATAAGTAGCGGGTGTGACAATGACCGAGGTACGATCACCTCGGCGACGAATGATGATGCTAATGACGATGTTCGATTTGCGGTGAAGACGAAGGACAGCCAGGGAAGATTCAGTTGGCACGAGGGTTTCCTTTGGAATCGGTGATCGAGCGAACACGGAGAGCTTGTAATGAAAGGCAGGATGCGCTCGGGACCGGACGTGATGTTCTTCGCATACAGAAACAGTTCCAGAAACGAAGGAAACACCGTCGTTGGACTATGATGATTGGTACCCCTCCATCAAGATAATCGTGTCCTAAGTATGGTATGGCAAAAAGACGTCACCGGATAGGTTTTCATGTCTTGTCAACAGTTTGTACATTTATTTATGACGCGCCACTAATTTTGTCCTCATCAAGCCGGAAATTATTATTGTTCTTTTTCAGAATTTTTCTCTTATGTTTACTATTAATCTGGATGCACTGTTAGTCGATCCGTTGAAATGCACTCGTATGGAAAATTTAGTGTGAAAGAATTTTTTGGAAATTTATTTTAGGTAATTTTGTAAAATGAGCAAAAGTTTCTCCTATTTTGAAATAACATCGATAACGTTAATTTTAAACAGTATGATAAAAAATGATAAAATAAAGAATCGATAGAAAAAGAAGCAAATTGAAAATTGAAATGCGATTGTAACAAAGATTTTTTGCGGAGAAAAGCGATTCAGTAAAATGAAACGATCAATACTTATCAATGAGACTTTCAATTGCAACCTATACAGGTAAATGCAGAATGGAGTAAACGTCAGGAGTTCATAGACCCAGTCTGGCCTATTATTTAAGTTTGTGCATTTGCATACATTTGCATACGTATATCAGTTAACAATGAAATATACATTTTATATTAAATTTTACTGTAATTTTTTATCTTTTTTTATTTACTTCATTAAGAATATTTTAAAATGACAAAACTATAATTTTTAAAATAATATATACATATATCTTCTTCTCATATATTAATAATACTATTTTACACTACAAAATTGGCCGATCTTAAATCGATTCCTCTTGGTTTTTTTTTTGAAACCAGAAATTTTTTCACACTGCATTAAAAAGATGGAAGGAAAGAAATAAATCTTAAAAATTTTTTCCGATTTCGCCAGAATTATTTATTATTCTTTTTGTATCTCGTTCAGATTCATTCGGAAGTGGCGACCACGTCAATGTTTTTTCCCAGAAATACAAAATTCACGTTACGTCAATTTAAAAATCGATTATTATTGACAGAAGATCGTTTTCCCGTGACGTGAGTGCGTTAATGGGATACGTGTCGCCAAGCGTGAAACAATAGCACGTGTTTCTATCCTCGTTCGACTTGATACCACTAGGAATCGGTTCCTCTTTCGCGCTATCCTTCGAGAGAGAGTTACTCTTCTCTCTGTTAGTGCGTGTCTCACCCTCATGGATGACACTTTGTTGGGGGCTCTGCGTCGAAGTTTTCACTCGTTGCCACGAATTTCGTTCGTCTACCGCCTCTGAGTGATGCAGCACGTTGGTCATATTTCTCTTAAAAAAAATTTTTAAAAAAGTTCATCCTTACGTGTGCGTTCGTTCTTCTTCTTTTTTTTTTTTTTTTTGACCATAAAAATGGATAAGTGGATCATTGTTTCTCCTGTGCACGGAATTTCAACGTCTTCTTGTTTGGTTGGATTCTACATCGTGAATTGTGAATAAAGTACTATTGATTGTTTTGTGATTACGTGATTTTGTGTAAATATTGGTAATAAAAAGAAAAGAAAAGAAAAAAAGTTATTAGAAGAAATGAACGCGGAGGAAGTAAAAGTAGGATGCTTTCAAGTAGTCATAGTGCTGCTCCTTGGTATCAATTATGTCATAGTTGCGATGAGCCACGCATTGCCGGTATTTCATAATTATACGCCTAAATTTTATTGTCAGGTAAATTAATTCTTCTGTCTTTTTTTTTCTATTTATATAATTTCTTAATTGGTTAATTCAATTATTCGTTCATTTCATAACATCAAATAATTATTGAACTATTCAAATTGATTTAAACAGTAAAATATTCATTGCTTTAACTCGTAAATGAAATTTTGCTCTCTTAAGAAATATTGTTAATTGTTCATTCAAACAATTTACTTAACTTTTGTTTTAATGATAAATATATTTGTGTGAAGTAGCATAAGTAAATCGAATTTTATTTCATACGTGGTAACAAAAAAATTCAATTATCATCAGTCAATCAAAAATTGAATTAGTTAATACAATTGACTAGTTTCAAGAAATATGAAAAATATTTAAATTGGATATTACAGGCAAAAAATGGAACGAAACGAACATATGGTTGCCAAGAGCTTGGCAATATAACTCTTACAACCAACGAGACTTCCGGTTTAAAAGAATCTATGAATACAGACTTGTGTTTCGGCGAGTATCAATTTGCAACCGAATTCGGAGAGAATAGCGTAGTGACGGAATGGCATCTAGTTTGTGAAAAACGGTATTTGACGTTTCTTGGGCCGACCGTTTACTATATCGGGGTTTTAATGGGTGCTTGGATCGCTGGACTTTTGGCAGATCGTATTGGAAGACTTCCGGTTCAAGCGCTTTGTCTTTATACTCAGGGCACGATGGCTGTTGCGTTATACGTTGTACAGGTACATAAATTTCCTTAAAAAAAAAAAAAAAAAAAAATAGTAAAATAACGTTAATTAAAATATTGTTAATGAAATGTTTTTTTTTTTAAATTTTCAATTCGATCTTCATTATATTCATTTTAATTCGTGTCATTCGTTCAACGCGGAAAATAAAAGAAGCTAACGTTGAATACCAAATTAACAGAGGATAAAACTTTTTTTCTCTTCTCTTGCTGAATGAGAATCTTCATTTTAGAATTATCCCACGTTTTTGGCTCTTCGTGGATTACAAGGAGTCTTTGTTCAGGGTCTACAAAATTCGACGTATATTCTTTCTTTGGAATTGTTCCCTGCCAAGGCACGGACTTTCGTTGCATTAGTTATGCAAATTGCTTGGGCCATTGGTTTGATACTTCTAGCTGCACTCAGTTACATTATACCGGACTGGAGAATCTTGCAATTAGCAGTTTCAGTTCCCACCGCAATAACTGTACTTTACATTTGGTATATATAATTTTTTTTTTTTAGCGCGAAGAGCAAATAAAATATATATATTTTGAAATAGATTGATGTATGAATCTATGATCTATGAATGTATCTCAGGATGATACCAGAATCGCCAAGATGGTTACTGGCAAAGGGAAAAACAACGGAAGCAGATATGGCATTGGAACGTATCGCGAAATACAATATCTGTTGCACTAGATTATCTCGAAGAGAACACGTTAAATCGGATGCAAACGTTCTCGAGAACGCGATCCCGACGAAACCGGAAAGGAAGTCGCGCGTCTCGTGTCCAGACTTGAAGAAATCGAAAACCGATAACGAAATGAAAGAAGAAGCTGCGAATTTGCTGAATAGTAATACAACGGATACACTTCAACAAAAAGTTCGAAGTAAAAGATGAATCTTATTGAATATTTCATCAAAATAAAAAAATTTTTTTTATCAATTATTTATTATTTACGTTACACTGTAATTAACGAGAACAAAAATGATGTACACTTTCCAGAAACAAGTTTGAGAGCGATTTCAGAAAATTTAGAAAACAAGCTTGTCAAAACGGAATCGGAAGTGGAATCGAAGCAATACGAAAATGAAGAAATGGAAAAGAGGAATATCGCATCGAGCTCGAAAAGTCATCGAAAATCGAAATCGATATCCCAGCCAGCTGGAAGTCAAAGACTTTCGATGAAAAATGCGTATGATACCGTAGAATTACGGATGCCGATAAAAAAAGAAATAACGAGCAAAGACGAGTATAACAAAAAGTGTAATAAGATCGAAGAAAAATCCAGTAACGCGCAAACAAAAGAAGAGTTGTTGGAACTGTTTAAATCTATGCTATTGAAAAAATATGGTATTATAATGATGTATCAATGGTAAGATTTTTCAAATATTTTTATCAATCGATGCAATTATTTCTTTCTTATTTATATAATTATTTATTTATTTTTTCTTTTATTCAAGGTTCACATCTTCTATAGCATGCTGTGTCTTTATGACACTCGTTCCAAATTTCTCTTTTAATAGGCATATCGTTTTTGCATTAGGAGGAGCATTAGAAATCGCAACTTACGTGTTTCTCTATTTCATATTGTCTAGATATGGCAGACGATTATCAATGTCAGCATATCAATCAATTACAGGTGCGATTTGTATCTTATTAGCAGCCATAATTATCTTATCGAATCCCACAACTGCAATTGGTACGTACATCTTAATAATATCGTATTATTTTTTATATACTCGTTCACTTCTAATGATTATTTTCAGATCTCACGAAGACCATTATACTTTTACTCGGTAGAATAGCAGTAATGAGCACCGTTTCCATAACATACTTGTATACGGTCGAGATATTTCCAACAGTTGTGCGAGGAACTTGCTTAGGCTTATGCATCGTTTTCGCGAAAATCGGCAGTTTATGTACACCACACGAATTATTATCGGTAAGATTTACATTCCAGCAATTAATTTAGAATTAATTAGCGGAACGTACAGAATTGGTATAGGGAAAATTAAATACGATTCGACACGAATTTCTCTTTAAAATATTCATTTTGAAGTAATAAATGTAATTTTCGTTTTAAGGGAGAATATTTTCCAGTTACCATTCCATTAATAATTATTGGAATGCTCTGCTTAGGATCTGGGGCATTTGCTTTAATTTTACCAGAAACTTTAAACAAGATTTTACCAGATACAACGGAAGATTCTGAACTGCTGATTGTAAGAAGGAGAGATAAAGAAAAGAAAAATAATGAAAATTTAAACAATGAGAACGCGCCTGATATCGAGGATGCTTCGGAAAGGGAAATACTTAGAGCGAAATTGTTTTCGGAGGATTGGGTGGATGCGGGAAATGGCATTTTAGTGAATTTCACAGAGAATAAGAATTCTGAGTAAAATATTTCAAATTTTATATAGGATAAATTAATATCACATTGTCATAAACATATTGACAAATTGTGATTAATCATTTGGTAAAATGTGATTATTTATGTATTATGGCAAAGATTTATTTGAAATTTATGATATTTTTTTTACTAAAATATTTGAGGTATAAATTCTTGATGAAACAATTACAATGTTTTATGTTTAGTTTTTTTTTGTATAATTAATAGTTAAAATTAATTATTTAATTTATAATCATAAAATATGTATGCATGTGCATTATTAATTTACATGTAAATTAAATTCATACGAATTTAAATTATTAGTGAAAAATGATACAATATTTTTTATAAAATAATAATTTTTAGAAATATGTATCATTGTGTATTATATTCTTCATGTATACGAATATGTTAGATTATTATAATAGTTTATAATAATCTAATATTATTTATTATCTGTATGTTTAATGTATCAAATGTTAGAAAAGTTATAGTAATCAATCAATTATCACTGCCTATTATACATTTAAGTGCTATAAATTAAAATAATTAACTAAGTGATATAAATTTTTTAATTTTTGCATTTTAGAGGCTGAATTAACGATATGTAATAGTTTTTTTTAAATATTATTCTTACAATTTTTTTTATTATCATTAAATATATTTGTATATATAATTATGAAATTAATTTACAAAAATAACATTTTGTACAAGTGAAATCAAAATAATATTCTTATTTTATTTTTAATTAGATATTAACATATTAAATTAATAATTTTGTATATAAATCTAATAAATGCCAAAGTTTGCATTATAATAATTTAAATTTAAGGATTAAGTATTGTAAAGATTATTTTTATATAATAAACATATATATATATATATATGTGTGTATATATATATATATATATAT